GAAAAGATGTAGGTCATCAAGTAAACAGCTACTACATTCTATAGAACTAAAAATATCAGCCAAAGCAAAATGCTTGAGTGATCAAATTATTACTAAAAAAACAAAAATCCTGCCACTAACTATATATCAACAACAACAGCAACAACAACAAAAACAAAAAACACAGCTCTACATTCTTTCACCGGCACAGCTGGCTGTTTCTATCTCAATTTCAGCAATTCTATTTAATCTACTTATGAACTATCTTCTCTCACTCCTTTAAAAACAAAAAGGGTAAGAAGAGATTATTCTGGATTCTCCACAAAAATCGGTCAAATGTTTGCTGAATCAAATTATTCTTCTTAACCTTTGATAAGCTTTATCATCTTGAAACAATGTTTAATCAACTTCCTATGTAAATGTTTTTCAGATGAAAGAACAAGTCCTAGAAGCAAAGTTTAATCTTCCCAGTGAGTCACTGAAAAGAAATTGTTTCTAAGCTTTCTCATAAATACCTCTCTTCAGGGTCTGAACCAGCAAGTCTCTTAAGGCTCAAACATTTTTTTTTTTAAATAAGCCAGAAATTGTCAATATAGAAAATAAATTTCAAAGCTGCAAGTGAAAATAAAATTGTAAAAATAATTTAAAATAAAATCACTGGCCACTAAATCTCATCATGTGAAATATTTTCCCTATGCTAATTCTCCCAGTGAAATAGATCAAACATCTAACTAATACTGATCTATTCTGGATCCAAATTGTATGTTCTCCATTCATTAAGGCCTGAAATGAAATCCTCTCTACAGTTTTTTTTTTTTTAAAGCTTTTCTCACTCCTTTTCTACCAAAAAAGAGAGTAATTTATGTTCACAATATAATGTTCCTTTCAATGGAGTAGTGCCTATACTGAAAACACCTTTGTTGTCAACATTACCAATATTTTTAAAAAAATCAAATGTGTACCCAATATAGTCATAGGATAATGACTTTGGCGCCATGTACTAGACCAGATATTTATATCTAAAGACTTTTACTACTTTACCAGAAGCTAAAATGCAAATTTCAAGTAGAGCCAGGAATAGTGATACTAGCTAGGCACAGTGGCAACACCTGAAATCCCAGTGACCCAGGAGGCTGAGGCAGGAGAATTAACCCAGCCCTAAGCAACTTAGTAAGACTCTGTGTCTCAGAAGAAAAAACAAAAAGGGGTAGGGATGTGGCTCAGTGGTAAAGTACCCCTGGGTTCAATCCCCAGCACAAAAAGAAAGAGAGGAAGAAAGAAAGAAAAGTAAAGCAAGAGAGAACATAGGAATTGACTCCCTTTACAAGGAGGTTTGGGCTTCCAAGACCTAATGTAGAATTCTTTCTTAAACAAAGAATCTTGAACAAGCACTGAAGAGCCCGTGTTTTGTGTTCCTATGCTATTTATAGGTTTCCATTTTCAAATCATCCTTTCCTCTGTCAGTCTGTGGAACCAGTGTCAAATCATCCTTTCCTCTGTCAGTCTGTGGAACCAGTCCTGGTCTGAGTGATGCTTGCACTAAGGGTGTGTGTTCCTCAGAGTTTTCTCTGTACAACTGCTAATCTTCTGCCCTGTCCCAGAGTGGTGAGGCTGAAAAGTAATCTTAAATTTCATGATGAAATTAAGCAAAAGGGGCTGAGGCAGCTCAGTGGTTAGCATGCTTTTCCCCAGCATGCATGAGGTCCCTCAGTTTGATCTCTATTGCCAAAACAAAACAAAAAACCCCAAACTACAAGCTCTTTGAATAAGATACTTTATCAGTCACAGTGACTTAGAAGGGCTGATGGATATGTGAAATCTTTTTTTTTTTTTTTTAAGGTGCTTGGGAGCAAATTTAGAATGATAGCAATAGGAATAGCCCCTTGTATATATCATAAGGCATACAAATTTGTGCAGAATGTTCACTTTACTGTTAAAAGTACAAATATTTAGATTGGGAAACACACTACTTATTGACACTGTTGCCTAGAAGCAGCCATAACTATTTCTAACCAGAAGCATGATAACCACATATACATACACAAACACCTACTTACTCACACAAAGAATGTCTCTATAGGCCTGTTATTATGCTGTCTTATGTATATATGGATATCAATGAAATATAATGGTTCCCTAGAATAAAGGCAACTTCTATTTCAGGTATTTTGTTTGACCACACAAACAAGATGGAACTTTGTACTATTTAAGTATGGTTTCCTAATAAAGAAATCAAAGCGCATGAACTTGAATTTGAATGTTATGGTATTTGTGATTCAAGAAGCAGGTTTATCTTTTACTCTTTCATCCCAAATTATGGGGGAAAAAAATCTGTTTCGGAAACACTCTTTGCTCAAGTTCAATTTGCAACCAAAGTTAAAAAATCATTTATAATCTAAAAGTCCAAAATAAGTAACTAAACAGAACCCAGATGCAGATTGCTTTAATTGCTTAAATCATTTTAAAAACATACAGTAACTTGACATTTTAAAGCAATTACAATTATTTCTCCAAAGAAATGCTAGGGTACTTTGCATTCTGCCTGCAAAACAGCAACCATTTAAACAATAATTTCTATTATGTCATCAAACACAGACCGACATTACCATATAGGTTTTAAAGTTCCCTAATAAATTGCCTATGTGGAAGCAAGGGACATAGAAAGAAAACCTAACAAGCTATTAAATGAGGGAAGTTATTTAGAGGGGAAAAATAAACAAAACCTATTTCATCTACCAGGGCCTTAAAAGGGAAAAGGGGGGAGGGGGGAGGCAAAAACACAAGCCTCTGCTGCGTCCAGATACATTCACTGAAAAACAACTGGTTGGGTGGGGGGATGCAATGAGAGCGCACAGGTAATTTTAAAAGGCATTGTCTAGAAACGAGAAATGAGGAGAAAACAACCTCAATGCTCTATGATTACCCAAGAACGGGTTTAGCCAGATGAACTAGTCTGGTAAAGCCCTCCCCCAGGCATTTGAAAGACTATCAAACAAAACTTTATTAAACTGGATTACAGGGTCTTACTCATTAGATGTTGAAGGCCACAATGTTTATGATCAGGTGAAAAAAGTTGATGCATGGGACCCAAACTAGGCCTAGGTCCTCTTTTTAGTTTGTTTTTATTAGGGCAAGCATTGTTAAGACAACCCACTATTAAATTTCTTTGCCAGCAGGTCAAGTTCCAGAATCCTAGGTACAAGCATTCAGAGCACTAAACCCTGACAGGGGTTGAAAGGCTATTTAGATATGGCCTGACTACATCCCTGCAATAAGCAGTTGATTGCATCGTTATATGTGATTATATTCTTCCTTTATTAGGGGACTTTAACCCCATGAAAATGTATTCCCTCCTTCCTATCTCCAGTTTCAAGGACTTCCAAGAGAAAAAAGGCAACAGTTCAAATGTTTCTAAGTTATTCCCACCTCCTCTTAATCAAAACGTCAGGTAAAACCCTGTGTTAAACATTTCCTTAACAGAGCATATAGTCTGTAAAAGGATATTTTATACTGAGTATTTTCCTGGCACTTGTCATCTGTATTTTGAAGAGTTTAGGTTGACATCTTTTTTATATGCTTAATTCTTTTGTGGACGCTTAACTGTAAACATAATTTTCACCTTAGGTTGTTTATGAAGGTTCTTTCCTTTTATATAATCAATTTGTCTGCCTTTAAAAACCTCGGGCCAAAACAACTCATTTATTTCATAGGTAAGTTCAAGTGTCTTTTTTTTTTAAGCAGTTTCTCAGAAAGCCCTGGTATCTACCACATTGTCATCAATACTATTTGGATTTTAATAACTAGATTTTTATCATTGAGATATCAAGCAGTACTTCTCTAACATGCACACAAACTGTTTGCAACCATATTCCTCTCGTGGCTATATCTCAGCACTGACCTTTGTTCAAAGGCTTTTACTTTTTAATGCAGCAGTTAGAGATAACTACTTCATTTATCAAAACTCAATTTCCATAGTAACATCTAGCCTGGGGAGATTCAAGTCCTCACACTAATCCAACGACCCATTCAAAGGAACTGTTGAATACTTTGGTTTCCATAGCAATGATGGAATAATACATTTTGCTAGGTCACTGCTTTTATTAGCAAACTTATTCTTTGAACTTTAGGTAAGGCTGTATTTATTGAGGAAAAAAAAGTATAATCACTTTAAGAGTTCTTTCCTTTAGGGCTATTCTTAAAGAAAATTACAAATAGTAACCATCCATATATTTGAAAATATTATGGGTATGCGGAGCCCTTTAATAAAGTATGCCACCTAGTTTCATCTTAAAACTGGGTTCTGATATAAAATTTTTAAATTAAAAACCTCCTAAAAGTTATTGCTATAGATTTCATAAAACAAAAACTTACAAAATTGAAGGGGCTAAGCTTAAAAGCATGTTTTAAATGAGGATGAAATATAAGCTAGAATAAAGATGATGTCTCAAACATATCAAATGTCGGGGTGGTGTGTAAGGTGTAGAATAACTTTAAACCATAACTCTATTTTTGACCAGTCTGAAAACTCTGCAACTTCAGGCCTATCTTTCATCAAACACAGCAAACACACTCAACACAAATATTTTAAGCTAACAGGGACCTTGTATTAAGCTGCAATGCTGTACATGCTAAATGGCAAAGTTTTGATTGTTTAAAAGGGCTTTATTTAAAGCAAACTGATTTGCCACAGAGAGAGAGAGAAATTTCTTTCCTTCAAGACATGAACATCGCTGCCATTAAACATTTTAAAACCCATTAGTAAACATTGTTGTTTATGTTTTTGGGTAATTAATTCTATGGAAGTGACAGGGCAAGGCCTTTGTGAGTGATCATCAGCTTTCCTGGAACCAGACATCCTCATGGAACTGAATTTTGAGCCAAGCTAGTGCTGAAAAGGTAGGCCATTAAAAAATAAAAGTTGACAGAAGAAAGAAGAGATCAAACACGTGTTGGCTTTTAAAAGGATGAATACCACTTACACTATTTACACAACTTAAGGAATTAACAAGAAAATTACATACCAGTATGAGTCCTCAGGTGAGCTTTTAAATGAGAAGACTTCGTATAAACTTTTGTGCAACCTAAAATAAAGGAGCAGAGGAAGAACAGCTTGTCATTCTGGCGACCTTTTGAAATCCTTACATTTGATGATTCAGTATTTAAAATCTGCCTTGAAAGAACTCTCTCATGCTAGATAACATATTTGAAGCTTCAGTTTTAAATCTCAAGGAGCCCTCCCCCAACTACCTCATTAAAGAAATAAAGCAATTTTTTTTTTGTATCACTTTAGTAGGAAAGAACACAGGTAAATGACAAATGGAAAACTTGTGTTTATATTCCAGTAGGTAATTTTTACCAGCAATACACATTTTAGTGATTTAATAGCTACTATAGTATGTTTTTTAAAAAAAATTTTAATGGTTGTAGAGCTGACATTGCTAAACCATTATCCAAGATGACTATAATTTTCTGTACTCCTAACATTTCTTGTTTTTTTTCATTTAGCATGTCATGGCATATCATGCACCACAGTCAATAAATCATGCCCCATATTAATCACAAACTAGCTTACACCAGCAACTTGGGAGATACATTCATTACTGTCATGAATTTATACTTCAGCATGTGCTCATTCTTGAATGAGATGCATGGCCCATCAGAACCATCCTTAAATGTATCCCGTATATAGTCTTGTACCAGCAGTAAGTTAGGTACCTTTGAGCCAACATATTATTTTCTCCTATCCTACTCTTTCCAGGGCAGTTAATTTAGATTTTAATACTATAATCCTAAATGAAATTTTTAAAAATTTAATAGAAAAAAGTACATAAGGTAACTTTTTCCCAGAATGTTGTAGCCAATTTTTTTTTTTTAATACAGAAAATAAAGCTGGGCACAATGAAACATGCCTAGAATCCCAGCAATTTGGGAGGCTGAGGCAGGAGGATCCCAGGTTTGAGGTCAGCCTGGGAAATTCAAGCAAAACCCTCTCAAAATAAAATTTTAGAAAAAAACGAGAGAGGGGCCTTGGGGATGTGACTTAGTGGTAGGGCGCCCCAGAGTTCAATCCCAAGTACTGCAAAACAAAAGTGAATAAATAAATAAAATACACCATAGAAAACTAGTTGGTTACACACCAAGGTAAAGCACAGAAATAGAATTTTTCTTAACTGTCAAGTAGAACTTTTCTATGTAAACTTAAAGCCCAAGGATGAAAAGGATATGTGTACACACACACACACACACACACACACTCTTTCTCTCTTTTTCTCTCAATGCTTCAACCAAGTAAGATCACGTACCAGGATAATCGCAGTAGTGGATGCGGCGTTTCTCCAGATCGGGGTTACTCCTTCTGTTGTATCTGACAGGTTGGATATTTTGCGTATTAACTGGCAGAGTGGCAGGTAAATTTGGATTGTGAATTGCCAGTTTGGAAGCGATTGTAGCAGCATAGGATGGAGGTGGGGTTAAATTCTGGAGCATCTCTGCTTGTCTATCGGGACTTCCAGGCTCTGAGCTTGGTGGTGATGGGGGAAAGTAAGTGGCCTGCTGTGGAAGAAACTGACTTGGCATAGTGTATGTGCAAGGGGGCATGCCCTGGAATTGTTTCATTGAAGTCTGCGGAACAGCAGAGGTGTGTGTGTCAAGGCCTGCCATGGCGGCTGACATAGAAACATTAAGGGTGTCCATTACTGCTGTCTGGTTTGTAGAACTGGGCATGTCTAGATCCGGTGTATTCAGTAGCTGGTACAGGTGGCCCTGCTGGGGAGGGACAGAAAGATGAAGATCTGGTGTAGTAAGTTCTTGTTTGATGAAAATATTGTTCACCTCTGGAGCTGAGGTCTGGTGGGAGCTGAATATACTGGTGAACTCAGGGAGGGCCTGGGTTGGGGCCGGAGGAGGAGGAGGGGCAGTCGTTTCACTTTGGTGGCTGAAAATGGTAACAGGTTCTGTCTTGATGTATGTTACGCACGGTCTCTGGGATTTGTAGAGGCCAGTTCTCAGGTGGGTGATGTCAGGGAGGAAGACGTTCATGTTGATGCTGTAAGGTAACCCTTCACTGTCAGTGAAGAACTGGTCTACGACTGAGGCACTGTCTCGTCTATACTTTTTATGCTCTGGAATAATTGGAACTGGAGGAAGCTGAGGTGTCAGATACTTCTCCATTTCACATCTTGTCTAAAAAAGAAAAGAAACAAACATGCATAATCCACCTGATTCATCTCAGGAAGGACCAAAATGGTGCTTACTACTGTCCCCCTCACCTACACACACACACACACACACACACACACACACAAACAAAGATCCCTCTGTAAAATACTAGGGCAAACTTCTATTACTAGTATACTAGTATAAGTATTGCTTATAAACATACCAGGTTTGTTTTGCCAATTGTATAATTACTGGTTTACACTAAAGCTTACAAGTCTTTGTAATGTCTTTAGTAAAATCGCTCAAAAAAAAAGTGAAAGAGGCAAATCAAGAAAAAAAGCAAACAGAAATATATTCCTTTCCGATGCAATAATAGTATCACTCCTGATTCCCTGACCATTACAGTTTAATTAAAGTACTATATCAAAGTACTGCCTAGCTACCTCAATTCTGTCCATGCTACATAGTTATATTTTACATGTTTTATTTAAACAACAAAAAAATATGCAATCCCTTAAATCAACTCTGCAAAAAAAACTTTTTTGCTTGACTAGACATTTCCAATATATCTAATATAAAACATTCGTTGGCTATTTCAGTGGCTTTTTATTTATTGTTCAATGGAAACTTAAACACAATGTTTTAAGCAAAGCGTAGTATCCACTGTCACAAACAGATTTCACCTTCAACATTTGATCTAAATGTTGATTTTAATCAGCAGATTCGGTAATTGGTTAATATGATAATGAAATGTTCCTATTCATATCCCTATCTAAAACAGATCTTTAATTACCTAAGGGAAAATCACTCCCTTGGTAGACTGGTGCTAAGAAGCCCGTGGGTGGGGAGAGGCTGCTGTGTCGAWGCACAGTCATCAGCAAAACATTTATCATGTCCTTCTCAGTGGGCCAATGCTACATTCCCCCCTACTCTGTAAAAAAAAAAAATCTCCGTCATCCCTTATCCTCTCGGTGTTAAAAAAGTAAAAAAGCCAAATTGAAATAACCAATAACCAAATAGTTCTCAATCGGTGATTTTTCCCCCCAAGGACAAATCGCCTCAATCTTTTTACAGCTATCTTCTCTCCTAGCAGAACATAAGCTTAAATTCTCTTTTAATTTTTAACATTGAAAARGAAATTTCAAAAGAAAAGCAAAACCCAATTAGGTGGAATGGTTCATATAACTATTAACCACGGCACCATAATAGGTGAATAACCCAGTCATATTTTGCTAGTAAATTTCAAAAGCATTTCATTTTGGACCGCCAAATCATTCGGATCATACGGTGTGGATGGGGACGGGATTCCCCGGATAGACCCGATTTAAAAATAAAAATCAACGCTGTAGTCATGTGAATCACATCTTTGACAAATGCCACTGTCCTCTCAAATCACGGCGACACTGACCCCCACCACACCACCACCACTAGAGTAGGCAAGGCGCTGGGTAGCAAATACACACTCTACCAAGGGGGTTATTAAACGAAGTGTCTTGAAATAAACCGAACTAAACCCTTTCGTGCACTGCGCTCCCGTGGCGGTTAGTGGTTTCTGATTTTAGCTCTTCCAGCTGTTTGCATGTGGGTATGTTTCCAATTTTTTTTTCCTTGGGACAAGCTAAAAGTCCCGTGAAGTTTTTTCTGGGCTATATGACTCCGTGCGTGGGCGAAAGAAACAGGCGGTTGCTCTAATTCGGCTGCTGGGCAAGTGTAAAAGCCAACTGCCAGCTTTCAACACGGCTCCGGGAGGAAATTTACGCGCACAAGTAGAAAACAACACCCCCGGCTTTTTTTTTCTTTCTTTTTCGGGAAAAATACGCGCTCCAATACAACCTTAGTTATCCTCTTGTTTTCCAAACTCAGCCACCCACAATCGCTTCTAAAGCAAGAAGATTGAGCCCCAAGGTTTGAAACCCCGGGGAAGCTTTACCCCAAACTGCGTTTCTACTTAACCCCAGACGAGGAGGAGAGGTGGACCTCCAAGGCATCGGGTGGGAGGGGTAAAGGTGAAGGAGTAATTTAAAGTGGAGCGTGAGGTACAAGGTTTCATCCACCACACGTAAGAAAAACAAGGTGCGCGAGAGCACCCAATTCCCTCTTTAACCTCTTCCCGGCTGACCCGCCAGGGCCAGGGGAGATTCATCTCGGACTCCCCTCTCCCAGGTCCCCCATTTACTCCCTACGTAATGCTGTGCCCAGGCTACAGGGGCAGAAAGGGGCTGCCCACCCCACCACCAGCTCCTGGTGCGCCCCGACGCACGCCCCAGCCTGGAGCGGCCCCTGTCGCCTGCGCGTCGCAGCAGCGGGACACGCCCGAGCCCCGGGAAGGAGGCGGAGGGAGGGGAGCGGCTCTTCCTACCTGGACCAGCTCCTCTGGAGGCAGCCGCGGGCCGGCGGCGGGAGGCGGCGCCGGCTGCGGGGGCTGCGGGGGCGCTGGCTGCGCCTGTGGGTGGTGGTGAGGGTGCTTCAGCTCCTCGCCCGGGAAGAGCGCCGCATCGCGGGCTGGGTTCGCGGCGCCCAGCACCGGCTTGAGCTGCGCGAACACGGGCTCGTCCTGCGGGGCCGGCGGCTGGGGCACAGGTCCCAGGCGGGCGCTCATGGTCAGCACCCGCGTAGCCATGGACACTCGGGGAGCGGCTCCGGCTGCGGTACGTGGGTCAGGCGCGTTTCCCACCTGGCCCACCTTGGCTCGGGCCGGCGAGCTCGGCGCGGGGCCGCGGGCGGAGGAGGGGAGGCTCCGGGCAGACCCCTCGGTCAACAGCAGGCACAGTTTTCGAAGGCGCCCACGAAAAGCAAAACTCTTCCGCTCTGCCACGCGTAAACGCCAATGTCCTCCAGGCAGCCACTTTCTCCCGCCCCGCCCCACCGCGCTCTCTCAGTCGCTGGAGCCCGCTCCCGCCACCGCCGATTTCCAAGAGCGAGCTGCGAGCGCGCGTACCTGCCCCGCGACTACTGACACTTGACGCCCGCCTCTATTTCACCCAACTCTGGGTAGGCGGGCTCTGCGAGTCTGACTGACAGCGCTGCCGCGAATCCTAAGACTCCATCGCCGGCCGGGCCGGATCGGCCAGCCTATGAAAAGAGAGAAATTCACCCAGGGCCCCGCCTCCACTGGGCCGACCGCACCCCTTGGGCCACGAGCTTCGCGCGCAGGGCGGCCGCGCAGTTTGTACACAACTTCTCTGACAGATTGAGCTGGCGGAGCCGGGGGCGGAGGAAAGGAGAGGAGCGGGTGGAATCTAGGAAGAGAGGGAATTAGGGTGGAGACGCGGAGGGAGATCTCTACGGACTGTTCTCTGCCAGGATTAGGCAGAAAAAGAGTATTGCACGTCTTAGGTGTTGTGCAAGGACCTGAAACTCAAAAAACCGAAATCCAGAAAGCAGCTAGGTGGGGGCGCTAAGGTTTTCAGCGACTTGTTTAATGAGTATGTATTTTTAAATACACAAAAAATGTACTTTTCTTTAACAGAAAACTAGGGGCGGTATGATAAATTTTTGAAACCGCCCTTGTCTCTTTATCCGTGAGGATATCTATTTAGCAAAGCAAATTCGGTATGTCCTGAGTAAAAGGTTTAGTGACAAGCATTTTTTAAAGTCCTTGCATACAAGCCTACCCCCAACTCCCGCTGCCACTTCGGTATTTAAATAGCTGGAAGTAGTTTTCACACACATTTCTACCTCTTATTCCTGTGTAGAGAGCAGGCGGGGGTGGGCCATATGAATTTTGAGGTTTTTAATATTTAAACTATGTTGATTCTAGCCAAAGCCTGGACTCTAATTTAAGCGCTAACAACTAGCTCAAATGTGTGTTTAAATAGACATTACATCTTTGACTTATTTTTGCTAGCACTGTATGTGGGTGGGGGGGGGGGGAGTTTAATATTTACAGAACAGAAACAGCAAATTTACCTAATGCCGTGGCACCTTTTCCTACGAAAGGACAACCAAAGAAGCCTCAAACGTTAGGCACGAAGCAGCTCTGAAAACTGGGAATACAATTTTTTTTAGGAAAGTAATAGCCAAATATATTGCCGTCCATTTACTACATTGTTATAATGGGAGGGTGAATTTTTGCCAGCAATCACCAAAGGAAACCACTTCCCTTAATCCTTAATGTTCTTGTACATGATTTTATCTGGCTTATTGGGAAGCCGGAACAATAAACTGCAATAAAAATGCCTGTAATATTACTACATATGTACATATGTTGACAGCACACTATACCATTAGAGAATTGTTCAAATACAACAGCCTACTCACCACTCCACAGTTAAACAGCTTTTTCAAAAGTTCTTAGAAAAAACTTCACTTCAAAGAGTGTCTCTATCAAAAGCAGGGATCCATTTAAAATATGCAGATAAATTAATATGTATATAAATATTAGGTATTTATTTTGGAAAAGATAAAATTACGCTGTAAACTAATTTTTTTTTTTCTCCTTTTCCTTCCCTTCCTGTTAGCACATGATTCATCTTTATAGCAGTGATCGCTGCTTTAAGAGAATGGCTCATGACTACTTTCATGCTACCAAAGTATTATTTGGGAAGTGTTTTTGAGAAATTTTTTTCTAAGTAATTTTATGCTAGACGTCTACCTTCATCTTTAAAAAGCTGTTCTATTTTCCTCTTATGTTAAACCCAATCATGTAATTAAATGGTTTAAAAACAGGTGATAGAAGTGATATGGGATTTAATACAGTTTTAAAATTGATCTTTGAAAAATTTTAGTTAATGCTGATAGTATGATCAGTTAAGATGATAGTATGATCAAATCTGATCATGTGACAGACAATTCTTAAAAGAATTTGGTGCTCTTTTAACTTGAAGCTGAATCTAACACAGTTACTTCAACTATATATCTATCTGTATTTTAATTTGCTTTTAAATATACCTAGACTTTTCCCCTTAAGAGTCTTTTCACCAGCGCTTCAGTGGCCTGTTATTTTCCCCCAAGTTTTGACTACAATAAGATCCACTATTTTACTGGAAATATTTCTAAATATCACGCCATTTTTTTGCATGCTTTCATTCACAAAAGTTTTCARTTCCAAAACAAAACAAAACAGAAAAACCCCACTTGATTATTTGATAAGCTTTTAATAACCATATTTTATAATCTTGTTAATTTTTTTTACATTTCCACTTTTCTTAATGAATAGATATGAACCTGGCTGTGGTTAGGTTTGCATAGCTAATGCATTTACATGTATTAAAAATTGAAATGTATTCTTTTTTTTGCTCAAATATAGTAACATTCATTTAAATTTCATTTCTGGCATAAAGATTCATAAAATAGGGTTGCCACTTTTAAGTAATGGTTTCTCTGAAATACCCAGGCTCTGCAATCTCACAGAAAATAACTAGCTTAGCCCTGTACAATAGTACGGAAATTGGAAAGTAATCCTTTTCTGAGACATTTGCCATGCGGTTCTGGACATATAAAGAACATGTTCAACCAAGCTTCCTTGCTATTGCTTTTAACAGAAATGCTACAGCTGCAAACCTGTTTCACCAACTTAGCAAAAAAGGGTTAAAACTTGATAAATATTTTTCAAATGTTCCAGGTTCTCCATTGGCACAAAGCCAGACAGTGTGAATGGACAGATCCTCAATTACTTTGAACTTTCTAGTTCTTTGCATTCCTTCCTACTTAGTAGTGCTGTACCATTAGGGAAGATGGGAGAAAACAAAAAACAAATGTCAGGTTTCAGAAATCAATTAGTGGCCTGGCAGTAGTGTGTTAACTGAACTGTGCCAAAAGAGGGGATTCTGAGGGAAAGAAATAAAAACGTTGAGTAGTCAAGTTAGGTGGGAGGGTAAGCGAAGAAGCAGTGTGCATGCTTAAGTCCTTAGTCACTCGCTGGGCAACACAGATTTAGTCTTAGAATAAACCATAAGTGTCACTATCTTTACGGGAATAAATGTGCCTGAATGTGTGGGGGCTGGACAGGCATCCAGCCATGGGGGCGGGGTGGGGGGGTGGACTTGAAGGAGGCAGTGGAAAAAAATAGATATGTAGCTTCTGAATGATGAGATGAGGCAAGCTTGAAACTAGCACCAGGACAATGTTCACACCAAGACACCGTAAAAGAATTTTCAATAGTCTCCCTGATGTTTGATAAACATCAGGGAGAGCTTGAAGTTAAGAGATCTGGAATATCACAGCCTACTAAATTTCATTCACTTGGAGAGAATATGCACAGAAAATTCCATTTCTGTACATAGAATCAAATTACACACCACCATTGTAATTTGTAATTGTACAAATTACAATTACCGAGCCACCGAAAAAACAAAAGCAATTTTTGATAAGGAAGTAGACTCTTCTCTGGAACTAAAAGTGAATTTTACATGCCTTGACTGTCATCCCCTGTAAGAATCTGAATCAGAGGAAATGTAGAAGATAATTACTGTCCTCTAAAACATTTTACATCTTTAATCTTTTTAATTTTTTTCATTAATAACAAACACTCAAAGCTGGCCGTGGTACTACATCCCCATGATCCCAGAAACTTGGGAGGCCGAGGCAGGAGGATCACAAGTTCAAAGCYAGCCTCAGCAAATTAGCAAGACCTGAAGCAATTTAGTAAAACTCAGTCTCAATTAAAAAAATTAAAAATAAAAAGAACTAGAAAAGTGGCTCAAAGTGCCCCTGGCTTCAATCCCAGGTACCAAAAAAAAGACAATAACCAAAATAATAATAATAATAATAGCCACTGGAAACCACACATGAAACAAAAGTCATTGAGAAAATAACACAATAAATAGAACTTGCAATTGAGATTAGTCAGAATTCAACCATTTTGATTCAGAAGATGAAGATAGGAGAAAAGCTGCTCTTTTCATTTCCTTTGTGATCAAAATGTAACATGTAATTTTAAATACTTAATTTAATATACTTCATTTTTGAATAAACTAAAATGAGGCCTAAATTAGAAAATAACTTAATATTCTATTTTTGTATTGTCTGCTACCCTTAGCCTTAGTTCCTTTTTTTTTTTTTTTTTTTTTTTTTGTGTGTGTGTGTGTGTGTGGTGCTGGGGATCAAACCCAGGGCCTTGTGCATGCAAGGCAAGGACTATACCAACTGAGCTATATCCCCAGCCTGACCCTTAGTTCTTAAGTAAATTTTATACTTAACTTTGTATTCCAATTTGTTATTCATGAAATATTTCATAAAGCTCCCACTGTACACTTATTCCTAAATGTACCATAATTTATCTAACCTAATTTTAAAACTCTAGTAATATACAAAACCAGTAGAGTTTTACCTTTGGGGGGGCACTGGGATTGCTTTCTCCACCTCTTAGTATAATAAGCAGATAAAATTGACATAAATTCAGATACCTTGAGCCAAGTTATAGGCCAGGCATAATGAAGCTTAAACTGTACAGAATTTGAATTCTGACTCTCTACATGATAGGAAAGGTTAAAAGAAAAATCCTGTACTGAGCAGTTACACCAAACAATCATTTAGAACCTTAGGGAGGCCACATCATCAGCATCATAATGATCAGTGTTTTGAGCCAATTGCTATTCCTGTTATGACAAACAGTAATGGCAGTAGGCTGTGGGGTACAGGCAGTGAATACCCCAAGGAACTGTGCCTGGGTCACAAGGAAATATCCTTTCAGGCATTGATTTATACATGAAATGTGTGAAAATAGTGCTAGCTCCAATGTCAATTCTTCATGCTTTTAATTCTATACATTATTATTGGTTGTGTCTGTTTGTACAATTTTTGTGGAGGATAACTGGACAATAAGTATGAAAAAAAAGATATAAATAATCTTGAAAATGATAGATAATTCTCCTTCTAGGAAATACATAAATATATGTTTATATATGAAATTGGAAATAATCTAGGTATCCAACAATAGGGGAGTAGTTAAATAATACATACATACTATGGCTACTGTTCTGCTGCCAAAAATTGCATTATTAAGAAATACTTAATGACATGGGAAGAATATATATATGATATATGAAGTGAAAGACAGAAGTTTTATGAACATGCACCCACAAAGATGAAGAAAATAGAAAACGAGAATGTATTTTGGTAGCTATCATTGGAATGTCAAATAATGGGTAGTTGTTCCTTCCTTTGTACTTTTTAGTGTTTGCTAAGTTTTTTTTTTTTTTACATTGCTACTTGTTATGTTT